TGAGTTGGAGCCTGGTGAGGTTGTGGATGAGGAGGGAATGCAAGTCCAGTTCTATCACCGCCACTATGAGTTGGAGCCTGGTGAGGTTTTGCATGAGAAGGGAGTGCGGAGGCAGTTCCACCACTATCACCGTGAGTTGGAGCCTGGTCAAGTTGTGGATGAGGAGATGTCTGAAATGCGTGGACAGTCCAGTGAGTCTAGTGAGTCCAGTGAGGACAGCAGTGAGCAATATGATATTGAAGAAGACAATTCAATGGATGATTGGATGGCTTTAGAGACATCTCCTCTTCCGAGACCTCGATGGAAAGTCCTTAATGCCCTTCGTGATAGGCAGCTGGGTTCAAGTGCCCGCTTTGTGTATGAGGCCTGTGGGGCAAGAGTATTTGTGCAGCGTTTCTTGCGACAATATGTTTTTGAAGGCCATGCTGGGTTTGTGAACACTGTGCATTTTAGCCAACATGGCACCCTGCTGGCAAGTGGCAGTAATGACCTAAAAGTGATCCTTTGGGACTGGCTTCATCAGCGACAAGTACTGAACTTTCATAGTGGCCTCAAAAATAATGTCTTACAGGTTGCATTCCTTCCTAATTGTAGTGATGCCATCTTGGCCATGTGTGGCCGTGATGGACAGGTACGCATTGCACACCTCTCTGCTCTGCCAGGCACCCGGATGACTAAGTGTTTGGTGAAGCATGAGGGAGCATCTCATACATTGGCTTTAGAGCCACACTCCCCTTTTAGTTTCTTAACATCAGGTGAAGATGCAGTTGTTTTCAGTATTGACCTCAGAAAAGCACGCCCAGCTTGGAAGATAGTGGTAACCAAAGAAGATGGTCAGAAAGTGGGACTATATACAATCTTTGTGAATCCTTCCAACTTCTACCAGTTTGCTGTAGCTGGGCAAAATCAGTTTGTGAGAATTTATGACCAGAGGAAAATTCATGAGAATGTGAACAATGCAGTTCTCAAAAAATTCTGTCCTCATCACCTCATAAACACTGATTATCCATCATACATCACCTCTCTAATGTATAGTTATGATGGCTCAGAGGTCCTGACTAGCTACAATGATGAAGACATTTACATTTTCAACTCTTATGATAGTGACAGAGCCGAGTATGCTAAGAGATATAAAGGACACAGAAATAATGCCACAGTGAAATGTGTAAATTTCTATGGCCCCAGAAGTGAATTTGTGATGAGTGGTAGCGATTGTGAGCACATCTTCATCTGGGAAAAGTCATCATCCCAGATTGTTCAGTTCTTGGAGGCAGATAAAGGAGGAACAATAAAATGTATTGATCCTCGTCCTTACCTACCTGTGCTGGCATCCAGTGGCCTAGACCACGATGTCAAGATCTGGGCTCCCATAGCTGGATCTTCCACAGATCTTACTGGGTTAAAGAAATTGGTTAAAATTAATAAGCTAAAGCAAGATAATTTTAGCTTGCACCACACTTCCCTGTTTGACAACCACATGCTTTGGTTCCTCATGAGTCACCTGACAAGACAAATTACCAGTGCAGTTGGAGAGGTATTAGAAATGAAGGTGGAGAAGCAGATATCAATGACTCTTCCAGTACTTCCGAGGCAGAAGAAAACCAAAACCAAGAAGATCCACAGTATCAGACATCTTAATTGACATCCAGAGGCCACCACCTGAAACAGGATATCACTTCAGTACATGGGACTCTGAAAAATCAGCTTGAGAAGTATGTTTTTGTTTGCCTTCTGTTTGCAGTGTTTTAGAATAAGTATTTCTATTTCCTCTCCACCTTTACCCCTATTCCTATTACCTTGTTTTGCTCCATCCTGATACCCTCATAAGATTACATGATTATTGGAGTATAATCGGCTTCCTTTGTTGTCTCACAATTAACTAAGGAATTGCCTGACTTTGGTGAAAAATTAGTAGTCTTGTAAGATCTTATTTCTGTTCCAAACATTGTTAGACTTTTAAAAATTTTTCATCAATTTAATTCTGAATATTAGATATTTTGTTTTAAAATTTTAAAAAATATTTGTGCTCCAAAATAAAGTAAAATAAGAAACCATGGTTCCTTTCTTTCTTTTTTTTTCCCTATGAGCCCTTGGTCATGCACATGCCACATTTTTCTTTGGCTTTTTTCCCACTAAAAAGTAAAGAGGAATTGTATAACTGATTTATTCACATTTCTTGAACCTGAATTAATAATATGGAATTATGTAAGCACATTAAAGCTAGAGAGAAATTAAATTTAATAACTAAGTTTTTAATCAGTCATTTCAATGTTTTTGAAATGTCATGATTGAAAAATACTACCTTCCAAAAAGTACTCCTGGGTTAATATTTTCTATAAGGAATTTTAATAATTCCTTTATGTTCAAACTATAACAACTGCAATAGCAGATGAATTGTGCTTTTTTAAATGAATTTGATCTAAAACTAATAGGAGAAGGCTGTCAATAGCTGGGGATGCGTATGAGTCAGTGGACTAAGAGCACTGGTTGCTTTTCCAAAGCACTCAGGTTCAAGTGAGTCCCATCACATACATGGTTGTTCACAGATGGCTGTAAATCCATTTCCAGAGGATACAGCACCCTCTTCTCCCCTCCAGTGCTATTAGACATACAGATAATACACAGACACACATGCAGATAAAAATAAAAATAAAAATTTTTAAAGAAATGAAGATGCATTTAGGCATCTATGCAGTGTTTAAAACTGCAGTATAGTTTAGAAAAGGTTAAACTGCTTTTAAATTATTTTCAGTTTTTTAAAATGTAAATTTGGGATAGTGAGTGACAAAATTCTATTTAATATTCCTTTTCCATTTTGATATGCTATTAGGATAAGGGAATGCAGAAAATCAACTTCCTGTAGATTTCAACTAGTCAAAACAAGGTCCCTCATTGCAGACAGTTGTTTAAATGAAGGATGCCATTGAACATCTTGACAATGTTAATCCTCTAAAATACTTCCTGAAAATGGATATTATGTCTCCTCCCATGAGAGCATGAAGAAACACTTTCATAATAAGAAAGACTTTGGAATACAAGTTTGTCTTGACCAAATTTTACTGTTCACTGAGATTCAGTTAGGGATAAGAGTCTGGGGACCTCGAAGCCTAAAGAGGATCCTATATATTGGTTGTCAAGAAAGGGTTAACAAAGATCAGAGAAAAAGCTTGCCTGTAGAAAACAGTGAGTCTGAACTTCACACTGTGGCTATAAATATATCGTGGGGTCTGGGGAGATATCTGAGTGGGTGAAGCTTGAAGTTCACATACCTAGAACCTATATAAAGCTTGAAGGACATGAGTGGTTACCTCTGTATTCCTAAGTAAGAGAGGCAGAGACAAAATCCTTGGAGCAAGCTAGCTAGCCAGGACTAGTGCAAATAATAATTGCTGAGTTTAGTAAGAGAACTTTTGTCACCATATAAAGTGGAGTTCTGTAGAAACTGCCAGATACCAAATTTGGTCTTTCACATGTAAGCGCCAGGAGGTATACTGTCAAACACATACACATATGTCACATATATATTTAAAAACAAACGAGAGGGCAAAAAGACATGGTGTGGAAGGTGCTTTTGTTCATGTGTTACTTTTATTGGTTAATGAATAAAGAAACTGGCCTGGCCTACAGCATGGGAGAAGGAAGTCGGAGTAAGAAAGGAGCCTTGGAGCCACAAGTGGAGACAGATGCTGGGAACATTACCCGGTAAGCCACAGCCATGTAGTGATATACAGAGTAATAGAAATGGATTAAATAATATGTAAAAGTTAGTCAATAAGAAGCTAGAACTATGGGCCAAGGAGAGATTTAAATAACTATGGTTTCTGTGTGGTTATTTTGGAGCTAAACTAGCTGGGTGGCAGAGAAGAACAAGAGTCTCTTCCCTTCCTACAAATTGGTGTGCCAACATGGTGGACTAAATCGATGTAAAACCTGAGAGGGCTTAGAAAGGAACTCTAGACACAAAAAAACAAAGTTTAGCCGCATTTGTTTTTCTAGCTGGCGACTTGATGCAGCTCCTTTAAGAAAGGTTTTTCTGGTTCATCGTTAGCAGGAAAAAAAGCTGTGCCATTTTGAAATGCCAGCTTTCTTGGCCTTTGCTGGAGAGGATGTGGAGTAAGGGATACACTCATCCATTGTTGGTGGGAATGCAAACCTGTGCAAACACTTTGGAAATCAGTGTGGTGGTTTCTCAGGAAATTCGGGATCAAACTACCCCAGGATCCAGCAGTACCACTCTTGGGAATATACCCAAGATATGCCCTATCATACTACAAAAGCATCTGTTCAACTATGTTCATAGCAGCATTATTTGTAATAGCCAGAAACTGGAAACAACCTAGATGCCCTGAAATGGAAGAATGAATAAAGAAAGTGAAGAATATATACGCATTAGAGTACTATTCAGCGGTAAAAAACACTGACATCTTGAATTTTGTATGCAAATGGATGGAAATAGAAAACACTATCCTGAGTGAGGTAACTCAGACCCCAAAAGATGAATATGGTATGTACTCACTCATAAGTGGATTCTAACCATAAATAAAGGACATTGAGCCTATAACTCGTGATCCTAGGGAAGCTAAATAAGAAGGTGAACCCAAAGAAAAACATATAGTTATCCTCTTAGATATTGGAAATAGACAAGATTCCCAGACAAGAATTGGAAACTTGGGGGTGGTGGTGGGGTGGGGGTAAGGGGGAATGGAGAGAGAAAAGTGAGAAGGGGAGGATGGGGAGAGCTTGGGAGAATGTGATGGTTGGGATGGAGGAAGGGTGGATATGGGAGCAGGGTAGTATATATCTTAATTAAGGGAGCCATTTTAGGGTTGGCAAGAGACTTGAGTCTATAAGGGTTCCCAGGTGTCCATGGAGATGTCCCCAGCTAGTTCCTTGGGCAGCTGAGGAGAGGGAGCCTGACATGGCCCTATCCTATAGCCATTATGATGAATATCTTGCATATCACCATAGAACCTCCATCTGGTGATGGATGGAGATAGAGACATAGACCCACATTGGAGCACTGAATTGAGCTCCCAAGGTCTAAATGATGAGCAGAAGGAGGGAGAACATGAGCAAGGAAGAAGTGTGAGGGTTGTTCCCACCCACTGAGACTGTGGGACTGATCTAATGGGAGCTCCCCAAGGCCAGCTGGACTGGGACTGAAAAACCATGGGATCAAACATGACTCTTCTAACGTGGCAGACAATGAGGGCTGACTGAGAAGCCAAGGACAAAGACACTGGGTTTTGAACCTACTGCATGTACTGGCTTTGTGGGAGCCTAGTCTGTTTGCATGTACACCTTTCTAGACCTGAATGGAGGGGGGAGGACCTTGGACTTCCCACAGGGCAGGGAGCCCTGACTGCTCTTTGGACTGGAGAGGGAGGAGGAGGAGAGTGGGGGGAGGGAGAGAAAAATGGGAGGTGTGGAGGAGGTGGAAATTTTTAATAAAAAACAATTGAAGTTAAAAAATGAAATAATTGCAGCTTCCATCCAAAGGGCCATCGGAGGGGTGAGTTTGCTTCGGGCCGGCAGCAGGGGCCCGGCGAGGAGGAGCTCAGACTTTCCCCGACCCCACAGACACCCAGGTCACCCTGCAGTGCTGGTTCCACCCTGCTAAGCTCTCCCGCCTGCCATCCCAGCTTCCATCCAGGTACAAATTCCTATATTTCTCCCTTCCCACTGGGGCCATAAAATTTCCCCAGCTCAGCTGCCTTGCACGCTGGGCCTGCTCTGTAGGCGCATCCCGGAAAGAGGGAGTGCCTGTGCTTCAATAGCCTTCCTGAGGAAAGGTAGGCATTCTATCAGTGAATTCCCTGCCCAACAAGGGAACCTGACCCACTACCAGAAGTTCCAATAGAGAGCATTTGAATGAAGAGATAGGCAGACGCCAAGGCAAGACCTCCTCCAACAATCTGAAAAACAACATGAAAACACTAGATCCCAACGACCCTACAACAGAAGGACTGGAACACTCTAACACAGAAGAAGTGGAAAAAAGTGTCATTATGAAAGCAATAGAGTCCCTTAAACAGGATATGAATAACTCCCTTAAAAAATTGGATGAGAAGTATAACAAAAAGTTTGAAGAAATAAGTAAATCCATGAATGAGACCCTGAGAAATCAAGAAAAAACAATCAAACAAGTAAAGGAAACAGTCCAAGAATTGAAAACTGAAATGGAGGCAATGAAGAAAGCACAAAATGAGAACCGGCTGGATATGGAAAACCTAGGTAAATGAACGGAGACTACAGAATCAAGCATAACCAATAGAATACAAGACATAGAAGAACGAATCTCAGATTCTGAAGATACCATAGAGAAAATAAATGCTCTGGTCAAAGAAAACGGCAAATCCAACAAATTCTCTTCACAAAACATTCAGGAAATCTGGGACACAATAAAAAAAAACAAATTTAAAAATAATAGGGATTGAAGAAGGAGAAGAACTGCAGATCAAAGGCCCAGAAAATATATTTAACAAAATTATAGAAGAAAACTTTCCCAATCTAAAGAACGATATTCCTATGAAGGTTCAAGAAGCATACAGAACACCGAATAGACTGGATCAAAAAAAAAAAAAGTCCCCTCGCCATATAATAATCAAAACACAAAACATTCAGAGTAAAGAAAGAAT